ACTACCCCGAGGGCCTCTGACAACGCAAGCCACTCTAGGCGACCACGAGTATGTATATTCATAAGGTTTTCACTGGACCGACATACACATACAAACACACACACGCAAATGCACACGCGCGCAGACTCACATACATACATATATTCATACAACGCACACATACAAACACACGCATATGCACACGTGCGCACTGACATATATACATATACATACATATATATACATACATACATACACGCAGAGAGAGAGAGAAAGAGGGAGAGAGGCAGAAAGAGAGGGAAGGAGGGAGAGGGAGAGAACGAGGGAGGGAAAGCGAATAAGAAGTTCGAGAAGGGGAAGGGATAAGGGATAACAAACAGAAAGAATGAAGAGAATTAAGACGAGGAAGGTAGAAGAGAAAGAGAAAACGGAAAAAGAAAGAGAACACGGAAAAAAGGAGGAGGAGGAGGAGGAGGAGGAGGAGGAGGAGGAGGAGGAGGAGGAGGAGGAGGAGGAGGAGGAGGAGGAGGAGGAGGAGGAGGAGGAGGACGACGACGACGGGGAGTAGTATTAAGACGAGACACTAAAAGAAATATGAAACAAAATAACCAAACAGAAGAATCAGAAGGAAAAAAATCAGACAACAAAGAAGAAACAAAAGCAAAATAAACAACACAACAAACAAACAAACAAACAAAGCAAAAGCAGAGGAGAAGGAGGAGGAGGAGGAGGAGGAAGAGGAGGAGGAGGAAGCTCGCCCGTGTCTGAGCGCCCGAGTGTCTAATGTAAGTACATGACCGGGGGATATTAAACTAATTGAGCAAAATAATAATTTCTTGTTACCACTTAACGAAGTTCCCAGGGAAACCGTGAATCATTTGCAAGGTACATCAAGCCGGAGCCACGGCCGCCGATTCTGACACTGGCTTCGACTTCGGTTTCGAAAAAAAGGCCGAACGAAAGGGGGAGAAAGGGGTAAAGGGGAGAAAGTGAGAGAAAGGAGAAAGAGAGAAAGGAGAAAGAGGGATAAATGAAGAGGTGGGGAACATGGGTAGAGATGGAGATAGAGGAAAGAGATACAGGGAAAATGTTAAAGACGAGAGAAAGAGAAAAGAGAGAGAAGAGAAGAAAGAAGAGACAATCCGCAAAGAGACACAGGAGAGGTACCCAAGACCAAAAGAAGGAACAGGAAGAAGAAGCGAGAAGAGGACGGAGAGAGAGAGAGAGAGAGAGAGAGAGAGAGAGAGAGAGAGAGAGAGAGAGAGAGAGAGAGAGAGAGAGAGAGAGAGAGAGAGAGAGAGAGAGAGAGAGAGAGCACAGTCCGGGCAGGAGCAGCTTGCATACTTTTCATTCTTCAGTCTCACCCCCCCACCCCCCCTCTGTACCCCCACCCCCTCACAGACATGCCTCCGACCTCTCTCACGCACACAGACACACACACAGGGAAGGAGATATCAAGAAAATAATAGCTCTGAAGTAAATAATATCACAAGCGCGCGTACATACATACACAGACAAACAAATAAATAAACAAACAGACAAACACCCCACATAACACACACACATAAACAAACAAACACAAACATCCTCAGAAACACATACCCGCACGCACGAACACGGACACACACACGCACACACACACACACACACAAACATGCACATTCAACCATAAACACACGCACGCATTACAAACTCGCCCACGCAATGAAACCAAATGAACATAAAACAAACAAACAAACAAACACCGTAAAGAGAGAGAGAGAGAAAGAGGGAGAAAAGGAAAGAGAAAGAGAAAGAGAAAGAGAAAGAGAAAGAGAAAGACCGAGAGACCGAGACACCGAGACTAAGCCAGAGAGAAGAAAAAAAAAGCGAGAGAGAAAGACAAATAAAAAAAGATAATAAAGATAAAAACACACACACACACACACACACACACACACACACACACACACACACACAAGAGACACCGCCGACGCCGCACAACTTCAGAATGGGAGCGGCCGCCTCCTCCTCCTCCTCCAGTGGGTACATTATACATCTATAACTATCACCTCGTCTGTAAGTAACCGGTGGCTCCTTGGTTACCACATGCGGCTTCAGGAATGCCCCCGGGGGATCGGCGGGAGGGGGGAGGGGAGTAGGGAGTAGGGAGGGGAAGGAGAGGAGGAGAGAGAGAGGAGGGGGTGGAGGGAGGGGGAGGGGGAAGAGGAGGAGGGAGAAAAAAGGATGAGAGTGTGTGGGTGAGAGTAAAATAGAGAGGGGGAGAGGGAGAGGGAGGAAGAAGAGAGAGAGAGAGAGAGAGAGAGAGAGAGAGAGAGAGAGAGAGAGAGAGAGAGAGAGAGAGAGAGAGAGAGAGAGAGAGAGAGAGAGAGAGAGAGAGATTGTATGAACGGAAGGGAAGAGGTGAAAGACGAGAAAGGCAGAAGTAGGAAGAGGGAAGGAAGTGGAGGGAGGAGGAAGAAGAGCACAAGGAGAAGGAGGAGGGGAACAAAAAGTAAAAAGTAGAAGAAGATAAAGAAAGAATGAAAGAAAAAGAAGAAGAAGAAGAAAGGAGGAGGAGGAGAAGGAGGAGGGGGACAAAAAGTAAAAAGTAGAAGAAGATAAAGAAAGAACGAAAGAAAAAGAAGAAGAAGAAGAAGAAAGAAGAGGAAGAAAGGAGG